GGGGGGGGGCGGGGGGGGGCGGGGGGGGGCGGGGGGGGGCGGGGGGGGGCGGGGGGGGGCGGGGGGGGGCGGGGGGGGGCCCTCTCTCCCAGGCGAGATCGGCGGGAACCCCGATCCCTTCAAGGGGAGCCCGGGGCAGGGGGGGGGGGGGCGGCCCGGCCCCCCTCCCGGCCCCCCGGCCCCCCCCGCAGAAACCAGGTGAACCCCTAGCTGGCAATTCCCCTGTTCTGACACAATTCAGAGGGCAGTGTTTCTTGTGTAGTCAAAATACCTGTTTTCTCTGCAGGTCTCCATCTGACCACAGTATCTGCTTGCCCTAAGCCCGCTTGTCTGTGGCCATAACAGAACAACAGCAAGCACGGACCAACAAGAACAGCAATAAGCTAACTCATAAAAGAAATGCATCTACATTAGTAGAAGACAGTTATCACTTAGGGAACATTTAACGCTCTGGCAGCAGCAACACTAAATTGTGAAGCAGCCACAGCAATATCAAATGTTGTACTTCTGCCTCGTGACCGGACTTTGCTGTACCGCAAGCTAATGGGTACAGTGCAGGACAGAGCGACATAAATAACTGTTCTCCTTGGAGCATCTCAGGAGCTCCGGCTCTACTAACTGACCAGTCCAACTGGCAGATGACCTTGAATTTGGGGTTTCTCATTACGGCAAGGGAAAAATGGACAATGGGCAGCTGGTGGTAATGTACTGACAAGAGTTTAGGAAGCCTGCTGGCTAATGATGCTTCATTAATGAATTCATCTCTATTTCTGGCCCTTCTAAATCTCCCCAGAGCTCAGAGCTGAGCTCTCCATCTAGTTTTTGAGTTGAATGAGGGAGACACCCTGGACCCAGGGCGGTCTTGCTGGGCTCCCATGGTACCGGCGTGTCTAGGACACTCCATGTCCAAAGGAGGAGGAGAACAGGGCTGCCAGTAACAACTGAAGCCCTCACATGGGGATGCCGCTTAGCTGTGTGCAGAACACAGAGGCATTTGGTTTTGTTTCAAAGACAAAATTTCTTTTAACTTGAAATCATACTTTACGATTGTTAATTTCCTCTCCCCTATATATACAGGAGTAAGAGAGAGATTCAGAAAGGCTGAGGTATCTATACCTCTTTGCTACGTGACAACATGCAATATGTTCACATTTCAAAATTTAATATTCCAAAGTAACCTCTAAATCCTCCAGGTTTCCATCTCATGATGTTTTTTTTCATCCAGTGCTGGCTTTCTGTTTTGAAAGAACTTTCAAGCCTTGCCATTTAATGATGCCTGTCATCCCTAGGCTTCCCCTTTCCTAAGAGCTACTTGCCTAGTACAAGTCTAAGTACTCCACACAGCATGGCTGTAGACTTTAGTCTTTATTCTTCCTGATCTTTTTAATTTTAACTTCCTTCTCCACTTTTTCTTGTCTTTTCTTTTTTTTTTTTTTTTTTTTTTTTCTCTTCCTTTTTTTCTTTGCTGCTCCGCCGGTTAGAAGCAAATCTCGGGGGCCGCGGAGAGAATTCGTTTTTTCGCCATCGTCATCGTCGCTATTATTATTATTTTTTTTTAATCTTCCTCCTTTTCCCATTTTGGATCTTAACCCTTTGATCTGTTTCCTTTAAAAGACTCTGATTCCCAACTCCCATCAGGGGGAGCGGGAGGAGAAATACAGGGGAGGAAAAAAACCCCCCGAGTGAGTCCGTGCTCTCAGCTGTTGGCCAGGTTGGTGGGGGACAAAAGTCCCTTTAAAATATTGAATGTCAGTTGCAAACCTAAGAAAAGAAAAATCCGATCCGGAGCGCTAAATTTAGGAGCTTTATATGGAACTTGGATTCTGCTGCTGGATTTTGTATGGATTTTTTTCAACCTTTGGTAAGTTTCGATTCACCTTCCGGGGTAGAAAGAAACAAATGGCTTTTAGGGGTGGTTAAGACTTTGGGCTGTAAATCCTACAATATCTCGTCGGGGGTTTTTTAACCGCTTGTGTTGCCTTTTTTTTTTTTTTAACGAAGCGATGGGGACGTCGCGTTTTCTCGCCAGAGATTCCTAGAGCGCTGCTCTGTGGTTTTATTTTATCCCCGGTTTTAAAATCTGCTGGGGTTTATTATTTATCGCGCGTGCTGCGGGGAGGGGGGAGCCCGGCCGTTCACCCCCAGGCTTCCCGTTGCAGGGAGGACAGACCCCAGCGTCCGCCCCTAGACCGCACTGAGCGACCGAAGCGGGTTGGGGGGGGAGACGTCGCCAGAGGCTGCCGGCAGAGATGGCTGAGAATTGGAAGAACTGCTTCGAAGAGGAGCTCATCTGCCCCATTTGCCTGCACGTCTTCGTGGAGCCGGTCCAGCTGCCCTGCAAGCACAACTTCTGCCGGGGCTGCATCGGGGAGGCGTGGGCCAAGGAGTCGGGCTTGGTGCGTTGCCCCGAGTGCAACCAGGCCTACAACCAGAAGCCCAACCTGGAGAAGAACCTGAAGCTCACCAACATCGTGGAGAAGTTCAACTCCCTCAACCTGGAGAAGCCCCCCTCCGTCTTGCACTGCGTCTTTTGCCGCCGGGGCCCGCCGCTGCCGGCCCAGAAGATCTGTTTGAGGTGCGAGGCACCGTGTTGCCAGTCCCACGTCCAGACCCACCTGCAGCAGCCGTCCACGGCCCGGGGCCATCTCCTGGTGGAGGCGGACGACGTGCGGGCCTGGAGCTGCCCCCAGCACAACGCCTACCGCCTGTACCACTGCGAGGCCGAGCAGGTGGCCGTCTGCCAGTTCTGCTGCTACTACAGCGGGGCCCACCAGGGACACTCGGTCTGCGATGTGGAGATCCGCCGCAATGAGATCAGGGTAAGTCGGACCTTTGTGGAGACGTGGGTTTGTCCGTCTTGGCGGGGGGATGCTGCTCTCCCTGGCTGCCCTCTTCCCCCACTGTGTTTGTTCTCCAAAGGCCTGTGTTTGTATAGGGCCTACACAAAATCCACCCCGGTGCTGTTCCTCCTCCGTCCGGTCCCCCCGTGGCGGACATGTTAGGTGGCCGCTCCAGCCCAGCAGTGACGGAGTCAGTGGGTGCTGGGGGGGCTCCCCGGGGAAGGGCTTCCACGCCGGCAGCCTTTTGGAGCCGTCCAGCCATAGGACCTGCGGCCGCTTGGGTCTGGGCTGCGCGGGGAAGGGTCCAGGTCCTGGGCCGGGGGGCGTTTGGAGGGGTTGTCTCCCTGGTTGCTGCTGGGGTATGCAGCCATTCAGGGGAAGGCAGAGCAGCCACCTGCGTCCGAGGTCGAGTCACCCCGAAATTGGGCTCCCCGGGGGGACAAAGCGGCTGCAGACCCCGTCCATTGTAAGGCCTGTGAATGTCAAACTGCCGGCTCTTCCCACTGCCTCCCGCCGGGGCCGCCATCCCCTTCCCCCCGGCGCTGCGAGAGCTTCGTGTCAGAGACCCGCGGCTTCTCGCTGGCGGGCATTGGCGCTTGGGGTTTGGCCAAATAATGTTTTTTTTTTATTAGGGGGCACAGGGCTGCCCCCCCTTCCTCAAGCAGCATGGGGCGTAGCGCTAGATTCGAGGGAAAGCGAGTATTTTGCTCGTGGCCAGACCATCTGGCGGGAGCTTTCACCCCCGGCTCCCCACCCCGAGGTTCGTGGTGGGCATTTAACAGCCCTGCGGGCAGCCCTGCCGCCACCCCACCGCCACCTTCCCCCCTCCCAGGGCTGACCCGCCGCTCTCCCTCCGACCCTTCGAAAGAGTCCCGGCGCTTGTCCGCCGAATAAATATTTAACAATGAATTGAACGGTGATTACTGTAAAATGGGGATGATTTCCTGTGTATTTTAATGTTGCCAAAATGAGTCACCATTTAGCAATTAAAAAAAAAAAAAAGTCATAAATAAAAATTGCAGTATAATTACTTTCCAATTGGATGGCCAGGCCTGGGAGGGGGGGGTGGCTCTGTGCGGAGAGGAGCCAGCCTGAGCTCACAGGAAGGTTATTTTCCTCTCCAGGTTTATTTGGGGGAAAACCAGAGACCTCCGCGGAGGTGCCAGCAGCTCCGCCACACGCGCTGGAAGGGGAAAGACCCAGGCAGGCTTTTGGAGAAGCGCTTTTCTGCTTCTATTTATAGGGAGTCATTTTGGTCTCCCTCTGCCAGGGTGGGGAGCCACCCCGGGAGGGCTGTGCGGGGCTGGGACAGGGCTTGTGTGTGCACTTCCCGGGAGCCTTAGCCAGGGACCAAAACTATTTTTCCAGGTCCTTTTCCAGGACACTTTGATCTCATCTATTCCCACTCTTCCTGCGTGGTTGGTTTTTTTTTTTTTTTTTTTTTTTTGTTGCTGCCGTTGTTATGGCTGGATGTTCGCTGCTCCTTGCGGATGTGCGCTGCTAATGACCTGGCAGAAAGCTGCCACCGGCTAGGCTGGATTTTGGCCATGGCTTGAAATTTTAGGATATGTGGCCAGACACCGAATGTATTGGATGGCTGTATTGTAGAGCTACAAACTTATTTCGTGACCTTGGCCAAAGCCTTCAGTACCTCCATCGCCGCGTTATCTTAATTTCCTTTCTCTGCGATGATAAGCTTGTCTCTTCCCGCTGGGCGCGTGGCTCGGTTGGGTGCTCGGAGGCCGGGGCAATGGAGGACAGCCCAAAGCTGGGGGACGGTGTGCCTGAGGGATCCCCCCTGCAGCTGAAGCAGTTCCTCCGTGAACCGACTGGAGTAGCGAAGAGCCCCAGGGAAAAACGCCCGGCAGGTTGCCCTCGCTGCGTGGCCTTGGGCAGGTCTCTGGCTGAAAGCCACCCCTCGCCAGCCGGCAAGGAAGGCGGCCGCCTTGGTTCCCGAATTAGGGTGCGTGCGCTCAGCTGGTGACGGCTTCCCGCCTGTGGGAGCCAGGCCCAGGATTCCTGGCTGCTTGCTCACCCTGCGGTGGTGAGCCGCTCTTGGAGCATCCCGGGGAAGGAGGGCTGGGGCTGGGGGGCGGATGAGTAATGCTGGGCTTGGGAGGTCCGGGCCCCATCGTGAGAGGTTTGTTCCATGCGTGGCCTGCGTTCGGGAAGCTGTTAATTGAGAAATGAGTCAAAGTTTTGAGGCTCGGAGCCCTGTCCTTGGTGTGGGGGACTTGAGAGCGTGGGGGGGTGCAACATTGACCTGGTGAGGTGGGGTGGTCCCCACAGCCCGGAGAGATGGGAGCCTGCAAACACGCTCCCTGTAAACTCACCTTTTTTTAGCATTTATTCTTCTGGCTCTGCTGCCAGCCCACCTTGGAGGGCATCTTACCACTGGTTACGGTCCGATTTGAAGGGGAAAAGGGGCTCAAAACTCCTTGGGGACAGCACCAGCGCTTTCTCAGCTGGTAGTTTGGGCAAGAATGCTCGTGCTGGGCGAAAGAGGCCGGAGGTGGGCGTCTGCAGGAGGAAAGAGGGTGTCTGTGGAGGGCTCGCTTGACGCGGAGGTGCACGCTTCGTGGGTTTGGGGGAAGGGGACAGCTCGGCATTAGGTACTGCACAAACCCGCAGAGCCCTGGCTCGGAATTGGTTGAACTCCACGGTGCAACCGTAATACAAACAGTAAATAAAATATGTGGTTAATCTTTCTTTTGTGGGCGTATAAAGCGCTTACCTCCCCTTCCCCCCTGTGAGATGTTTTCTCCTTTGTTTCCTGTTTTTGTAGCGCTTAAAGAGGAGAGGGGAAAAAAAAAGCCAACAACCTACCCTCTATTTTTTTTTTTTTGTGCTGCTTGTCGTTTTACTTGTGTCAAGGTCTCAAAATGAAACATTTTTTCTTCCATCTTTGCCTTTGCTGCCCCAGCCACGTGCCTCCCACCTGCGTGGGGGAACCTGCCATCTCCCCGGCTTCCAGGGTTGAAAAAGAAAGTTGCTCCAGCGTGAAATTGATGCGTTGCTTTTTTTTTTTTTCATCCAAAAAGGGGAAAAATACATTGCTGGGATTGGAGCGCAGGTCAGAAGGCAGCAGCCAAAGAAAGGGACTCACTTGCGGGGTATTACGGTGTTTGCCCCATCTTTGTGTGGGACATGGTTGATTGAGGCCAGGTACATCACAGCTTGCTTAGGGATGTCCCAGCAGCCTGCCCTCAGCTGGAGGTGCCACCAGTGGGAAGGAATGTGGGTGGAGGCTCTGCTCCCGTCTTGTTTCAGGGGATGGAGGTAGCTTTCCCTCTGACATAGCTTGCAGCGCATTTTTGGGAAATTGGGAAAAAATCCCTGGACGTTCTGAAGATCTCTGGTGTTTTTGAACGCTAAGAGGGAGAAAGCATGTTGTGGTGCTGAGACCTGTGGGAAAACATTGGGGATCCTTCTGCGGGCATGTAGGAGCAGCGCCCATTTGGCAAATCCAGGGGGACAGTCAGGGACTGGGCTGCTGGGCCCAGCTGTTCCTCGGTGGGTTTGGGCTTTCTTTCTTGGCAGCCCCCCGGATAAGCCCAGCTCAGGTGCTTTCTAAAGTATGGGAGAGAGGAGAGGTGAGCACTTGGTAGGAGCACAGGAAGAGATGAATCCAAGTCTGTACCAGAAACTCTGGTCCTTTGCCAGCGTTGGCCACCAGCCCCAGTGCAGAGATGGCCCGTGCGCTTTTCCTACCTGCCCCAGCTGGTCACTTCTGCGGTTCAAAAGCTCCAGGTCTCTAGAGAGAAAATGCCACCAGCTTTTCTTTGCTAGGTGGCCCTGACACCAGAGATGCCTTCCTGTTTGAAACGAGTCCCATGTCATATCCCCATGCTGCCGTCTGGGCCAGGGATGTTTTGCTGGGCCCTAGGGAGCCCCGGTGCTGGGGAGGCTGGGGTCAGCTCCACTGCCAGGCTCCTGGTGTGAGCTGCTGTAGGTTGTTTTACTCTGAAACAGGTTTGGTAACTTGCGATGGGCTGGATTTTTACAGGCTTACTTATTTTCCAGATGACTTGTTTATGAGGAGCGTGGCACGCAGCTCACTGTGGCTGGCATTGTGAGCCCAAGTGCCCAAGTGCTCGAGTGTTAATTTAGCTCTCGTGACTGTAGATGGTGTGGGCTGGTGCCTGGCAGGCATTCCCTATGGCGCTCTTTGAACATACCTGGTCCACGGGCGACTTTGGCAGTAGGTCTTATGAAGCTGGAGATGTGCAGGTTCTCCCTGCGCCCTCCATCTGAGCCTCCACCAGCACCCCAGAGCTGAACTGCCAGCCCAGTCCAGGGGTTAGGTCAGCCTAACCCAGGTCTCTCCCTCCCCGGCTTTGCCCATGCCCTGGTTCCTGCCCAGGGGTCTCGGGAGTCCAGCACCAGGCTCCTAAATGTGACTGATCATTGTGCCCTGGGATGCTGTCAGTTGGTCAAGCTGCCGTGATGAGTAATGACTCCTCAGGCCTTGGGCAGTCACAGAAATCCCAGCACCCACCTAGCCTTGCTTTCTAGCTCCATGCCGTTCACCACCATCGATCTGTCAGGCTTTGCTGCGCTGTGTTGTTAGGGGCAGCAGGGGATTTCAGTTTAACCGATAGCAGCCTGTGCTGCCCCAGAGAGGTCTCGGGGGGGCTAAGCCACCCTGCTGCAAACCCGTCTGGGTTTGCTGGCCAAGTGGCAGTGGGTGTCTTGGCGGTCCCAGATCTTTGGCTGAACTGGCACAGTCTCCTGCCTCCCCGGGATTTGGATTAAGGGCTTTTCTTCCACTGCTTTCCTGCTAAGCTTGAGTATTTTCCTCGCCCTTAGCCCATCGGGTTGCCAGCGGTTGCTTGCTCTAGACTTGCAGCTGCAAGCCTTCTATGTAGAGTCAATCTGAGAAGTGACAGCAGAGATGGAGGACGCGGGGAGGCAGCCTGGTGGGTTTGGGTGGGAGGGAGGAGGCTTGCACGGAGTGGACAGCTTTGGTAAAGAAGGGG